TGGAAGTTAGGTTGATCCATTTTATCTCTGGATGACATTATTCTTTTTTATTTTTGATTAACTAGTTAAGATTGTGACATATTGCGATGAAAATGGTGTTGGGCATCACATGAACTGTTAAAGGTAGTAGAAAGCAGATTCGTTCACAAGCTGTAAAAAGCAGATTCCTTCACATATTATGAACAGTTAAAAGCTACTTTATTTTCTGAAGCTACTTTATTTTTTGTATAAATTCTAATGATTTGTAAACAACAGGAAATCTGAAGCTACTTTATTTTCTGTATAAATTCTAATGATTTCTCTCTCTCTTTGTATTCTTCTCTCTTTAGTTTTCATTATTATTTGCATGAGAGTTGAAAAGTACTCTCAAAAGTGGAGAAGACAATGGGCAACCTTTTTTAACCCCTCCCAGTTTAGAATGAATGAGCAGGAACTTCATTGACACTTTGTGCATCAATTTCACTGAAAATTCTAGGAGATGGAATCATAGGCCGCCTTCAAATCTACTTTCAAAGCCATAGCTCACCATCACTCATACTAAAAAAGCCTTTTAAGAGATCATAAGCTAAAACAATGATACCTTGATATTGGAATTTCTTAGAAAATTGTCTAAATGCTTTGCAGCCAATAATGGAGACACGCGTGCACACACACATACATATATCTTTCTACGTAGCCAGTCTTTCCCTCTGTAGGGGTTCTTTTTTAATCAGATAGTAAATAATGATATAAAGGTGATATAAAAAATACAAATATGAAGGAAAACAGAGGAGATGCTCAGTGTAGGAGGACGAGAAGAATACCAACTAACAAGTAGGGTGAGTATACAGTATCTTATGACAACTTCCTCTTCTTGCCTGTTATTCCTTCATAGGACAATACTATTTATAGCAATGGATTTCATTGGTTATTATCCAATGGTCTCTTTGATGCATGGTTCCTCGCATGCATTACTCCTGATCTAGATTACGTGAGTAATCCTGGAGATTCAGGAATCTGAAGGGCCTAATCGTTTCCTTTAGCCTTGTCTTACATTGCCATGTCTCTTCTCCCTTAATCAGGGGCATTAAATGTTGCTTGGCCGTCGGTTGGCCAAGCCTGACACAACATTAAATGTGATTTTAAGGTTTGCTGTCATGACATGTATAATCCCATCATCTTGTTAATCGGGCTTTGTTGAAAGTGAAGGCACCTCTTGACTTCTCATCCACCAATCCAAGATCCTCCTAAGTTTCCCAAACATAGATTCCCTATAGCCGCGAAGACCTTACCTTCGTTTCGTGTTATACGCAATCCCTTGACTACGAGCCCCTTAGGGCTTGAATCCTTCGTAGTGATATTGTCTGGCGTAACGCCAAGACTCGAGGCATTCGAGAGCCGCCTGGAGCGATGCCAGGGCTTAGGGTGCTCGAGGATTGGCTCCTCGAGGCTTGATGGGCTTGGAGCGGTGCCAGGGCTTAGGGTGCTCGAGAATTGGCTCCTCGAGGCTTGGTGGGTCTAGAGTAATGCCAGGGCTTAGGGTGCTCGAGGATTGGCTCCTCGAGGCTTGATGTACGTGGAACAATGCCAGGGCTTAGGGTGCTCGAGGATTGGCTCCTCGAGGCTTGATGGGCTTGGGGCAATGCCAGGGCTTAGGGTGCTCGAGGATTGGCTCCTCGAGGCTTGATGGGCCTGGGGCGATGCTAGGGCTTAGGGGGTTCGAAGTTTGTTATTGCAAGGCTTGTTGGGCCTGGAGCAATGCCAGGGCTTAGGGAGCTCGAGGATTGGTTCCTCGAGGCTTGATAGGCTTGGAGCGATACCAGGGTTTAGGGTGCTCGAAGTTTGATCTTTCGAGACTTGATGGGCCTTGAGTGATGTCAAGACTTAGGGTGCTCAAAGTTTGATCCTTCGTGACTTTTGACTTTTCAAATTGCCACGGAGAATTTGGCTATGATTGTATTGACTTGTTAGCGTGCTATGTCAGCTTCTAATAAGTAACACCCACACTCTCTTATAAAATTTCATCTTGCTGCCAACATATTATACAAGTGACTGAGACACCATATTTTGATTGATTTGTAGTCGAAATGAACCTTTAGTTTACCAAATGATATTTCTTCTCCATTAGAAGGGCAGTAGGAAAATGCCTGGTTATGATAATATCCTTCAAGTTGAAGTATGCAAAAATGCTGTCAATGCACATCCTACAATTTGTCATATGATTTTCCATGAAATGGCTTTTGAATCACATGTTATGTTGACATAAACTGTTCCATTTGGTGAGGAATAACCAGATTTCAATGCAACACCAAATAAGAAGCCAAACATGCCCTCAGTTGATTGTTAAACATGCACTTGTTCTCTCTCGCTACGTACTGGTTCTGAAACATAGTAAATAGTGACCTTTAAAATGCAATAGGACGTTCTCTACCCGCAATTGTGTGAAATTAATTAAAGATCAATAAAATTACAATTTTATCCTTAACTTTACAACTCATTATCTAAAATTTTAGTTAGTTATAAAATTATGTATATAACAAAAGAGAGATACCAAAATTTTGAAGGATATTGTATGTTAATATGGGTGCAAGTATATATATATATATAAATTTTGAATTTCAAAATTTAAAATTTGGTTCTTTCTCTTGAGCAAAAAGTGCCACTGAGAGTTAAAAAGATGGTGTCGACAATGTTATCAGAAAATTGGTTCAATATAGGAGTAATTAATTGCATTGAATGATATCTGTATGCTTGTGTTTTTATACCGTTGCTCGACTTGTACCAGAATTTATAGGCCCATGGATGATGGGCCAACCAGAAAAAATATGTACATTTTTAGGGCAAATCATTTCATCCTCCCCAATCGCCTCCTTCTCTGTCTCGTTCTCATCTCTGAACTCTCTCTCTCTCTCTCTCTCTCTCTGCAACTGCAAACTACAAAATCTACAAGAATCAGAAGTTCAAAACCATATATTTAAAGATCAAAACCTATTACCTACATCAAAACCCATATCGGCATATCATTTCAGATTGTTCAAAAAATCAAAACCCAGATCTTTCAGTTTCCATCGCCCGCTGTTCCAGTTCGGGTTCGCCGTTCGCATGCTTCAGCCGCTGTCTCTTAACTCTCAAGCTTGCCCCCCTCTCTCTCTGCAACTGCTAACTTGTATGTGTGGGTTTTGTTTTAATTATTTTTTCTAAATCAACTAATCAATCTCTGTAATTCTTCTTTTGCAAACTAAATCCTTGATTTTGTATGGGTAAATTTGGCATCAGAAATTATTCATCAAGCCTGTCCTTCCCTTTCTTTCCATTTCCTCCCATTTTTGGGAGGATAAACAATACATTGTTCAAGCTTTGACATAACCTTCCAAAATCTTGCCTTTCCTTCCAACAATTTTTGCCAAACACAAATTTTTAATCCCTCCATCACCTTCCCTTCCCTTTCCTTCCTTTTCCATTGCACCAAACTGACCCTTAGGGTCATTAAAACTCTGTGGGTTATTCGTCATATGCATCAATCCGTACATAAAAAAACAGTTCTCTTAATACTTTGTCTCCTAGTCAATGAGTTATAGTATTGTCTTGATGTCAGTTAATATATCATTCTCTTTGTCTGTCTCAGGGCTAGATCAATCAATACGCATTTGATTATTGTAACCAAAATAATGCATATGTACTCGTAGAAAATTTGAAAATGATCAATTAAAGTATAAGCTGTTTGACCTAACACATTACTCTTGGTGTTCTTCTATACTTGAAATGTTTGTTTACCTTTCTTTTTCTCCTGTATCTGAAATAAAAGAAAACATTTAAGTAGATTAATGATATTCTGATAGTCCAAATTAGTTTTAGGTTTTTTTCACCCTGTATTACTTTCTGTTTTATTTTATTCTTCTTTTGAACTGTATTACTTCATATCTAAGATGAAAGAAGGCTTAAAATCATTTTCATTGTACTTTGGTTTGCTCTTTGTTAGTTGATTTTGAGTTCTTGGGTCCAATTTGTTTTGTTGTATTTTATTTTTTAGTGGGTTTTGATTTCTTCAATCCGATCACTTGTAGTTGTGTTGAATTTTGTCACCTTTGCTGAATTGTATAGTCTCGTTCTTAGGGATGACAATTTGTTCCGCTCTACCCTGTTCAAATCAATTATGCCCTCTTTTTTTTTTTTCCTCCTCTAGTTTTTAATCACCAAGGCTACCTTGTATCTGATTATCAGTAGAATTTTGCATATCTACATTTTAATATTCATTTTCACACCTTTTTGAAATTAATGCTTGCTTTATATTTGTCATCTCTACTAGGATTTATGCGTAATTTTTTTGCATGGAGAGAAGAGACTGCACCGAAGAAGAAGGGAAGTCTGAATCTGCATTGCGTTTTATGTTGTTGAGCGTGTCGCCACTATTTTTCTTTCGAGGTTTCCAACTGTCTAGTGGAAAGGTAGCCCTTACCTATATTCTTCCAGTTACCCATTTCAAAGGTGTATAGCTCCGAGTTCTTTGATCTAATAGACTTAGTTGCGCAATGTTTTTTTATTCTTAAAATTTTGAATGAAAGCTGATTAGGGATATAACCGAAACTGTACGCGGATTTCGATTGAGATTTTGAAAGAAACTTTGGACCACAAAAAATTCGCCTAGGGGAGGGTTACTTATGTAAAGCTTATTAATTTTATAGTCTAAAAAACATATTAATCCATTTGCCAAACCCACGAAAAGCATGTATCTATTCGGCAATTTGTATTCAAAACTCAGTTTAATTGGTTCATCAACTCCCGACTCCAGTATGTTGTAACTGCATTGGTATCTAATCAACACGTCTGAGGTATTCTCTATTTCTATTTGAGTCTGATAAAGAACTACACCCGAAATTATATTTTTCTAAGCTTTACAAACTTGACGGCACATCAGTAGTGTTCGGGTCGGAAACCTCGAAAGAAAAATAACGACGACAAGCCTGAATCTGCATCTTGATGAGCTTGTCATCGTTATTTTTCTTTTGAGGTTTCCGACCTGAACACTGCTGATGTGCCGTAAGTTTGCAAAGCTTGGAAAAATATAATTTCGGATGTGGTTCTCTATCAAACTTGAATGGAAATAGAGAATACCTCCGAGGTGTTGATTTGATACCAGCGTAGTTACAACATACTGGAGTTGATGAACCAATTAAACTGAGTTTTGAATACAATTTGCCAAAGACATACATGCTTTTCGTGGGTTCGAGGATTAATATGTTTTTTAGACTATAAAATTGATAAGACTATAAAATTGATAAGCTTTACATAAGTAACCCTCTGGTAGGCAATTTTTTTGCGGTCCCAGAGTTCCTTTCAAAATCTCAATCGAAATCAGCATATTGTTTCGGTAATAGCCCTGATCACATTTCATTAAAAATTTTAAGGATAAAAAAAGATTGCGCAACTAAGTCTATTACATCTAAGAACTCGATAGTGGAGCTCTACACCTTTGGAATGGGTGACTGGAAGAGAATAGTTAATGCTCCGTTTCCACTAGACAGTAACAGTAGCCGTGGTGCTACTGTCTATGGCAATCTACACTGGATAATTGAAGATACTAGAGTCAATGATTTTCTATTCTCCTTTGATAAAGAATATGGAGTGAACAGCTCATGGACTCAAGATTACAAAATCCATCGACCCATCCTTCCCCATTAGCTGCGGCCTGACAAAAACATTAGTTTTCGAATTGTAAGATATCAACCAATCACAATGTGGAGGGATGAAATTTTGTTTTCAGCACCGTCTTTGATATCTTACAATTGGACAACTAATGTTTTTGTTGAGGTCAACATAACCGGTATGCATTCAGGTTTTCAAGGATTTGAATACGTTTCGTCATTTCTCTCACTCAAGGAGCTCCCAGGAGATGAATCTCAAAAAGTTGGGATCTTTGCTGTGAGGAAGAAGGCGATTCAAGTTTTATTTCTATAAATTTAAGGTATTTTTACTTCACTTGAATGTGTTTAATTTTCAATTCTTATTAATTTTTATTTTGGATAGATTTGCTTAACGTTGAGAAGAGAGAGAGGACGTTTCATTAGGTTTTGTATGTTGGAGGAACATTCTCTTGTTGGTTGCTAGAATGTTTTCTTTTAGTCTAATATGTATGATGCTGGCTGGATACTTGCAGGTGAATTTATTCACCCAACAAAATTACTTGCATAATTTTGGCTAGTCAACATTTAATGCTCTCTCAGACAACAAAGTTAGAGGTGGGTTTTCACCATTTTGTGGCTTACATATATGTTAGATAAGACATGAGTTTTACAAGCCATGCTTACCAGTTTCTTCAGCAAATGTTATTCTTCTCTCTCTAATCATTAATCTCAGAGTGCATATCTGACAGTAAACAAGGAATAATTATAGATATATATGTGGTATTTTGAAACTTATTTATCATTGGCCAATATACAAGGCATCTGCCACTTTCATGATTCCATCGGTAGTGGGAACCTCTGGAAGTTGTGTTCTTACCGCTCTTCAAATTCACCCTTCTATCATTGTATTTTTTGTTTTGGTGATCTTAGTTGTTTGAATCCTCTAGACATTTTGTTGAGTGATGAATTACCTGATGTATGAAATTCTTCGTTGGAGACCATTCTTGTTGATTAAATTGTTTCTTTCTATTACTGAAAATTAAGGTCTATATTTTCTGAACTTTGACTTTGATTTAGTAAATTTCTCAGTAATACTTCTCAATATAATTAAATTAAATGGAATGCATAAATATATATACATATATATATATATATATATAATATTTGTAATAAAGACGTAAAACCAAGCAGTTAAATTGAGGTTTTGAGAAAACTTCAGTCTTCACAAAAAAATTTGTACGTATGAAACTATCGGTTATGTTCAGAAAAATTTTAGAAGTCAAAACTATTGCCTATAAATTTTGATACATAAAAACATGTTTGTTCGTATTCTTTTGGGAATTCGATAATTTGGAATTGAAATTCACAGTGTTATTTCTCCAGTTCCTGATCCATGTTATATGGTATGCTGGATATGTATCATTTTAAGTAGGCAGCATACACTATCACATAAATGTATATTTAATAGCATGGTTAAAGAGATTGATCTTTGTGGCCAAGAGCACCTAGAGAAAGGAACCTGATTTAAACTTATATGCTGCTAGTTTTGATGACCTGAATAGGAACATTATGTTCTTTTAATTATCATTTCTTTTACTAATGGCATGATTGTTTCAGCTTCTCTTTGCTTTGTGGTTCATGGTTTCATAGTTGGCACCAAAGGTTGCACTGCTGTAATAGTTAGAGTCCAACTATAGATCGTAGAGGTATACTTAGGTATGCATAGATTGGTGGCGCAATGGTTATGATGTAACAGTGGTAATGGTAGTGATGGAGAATGTTTTTGAGAACCTGGGGATCTTGAATATATATATATTTTTTGAGACATGGTATTTTGTAGTGGTTGAGTGTTGGGTAAGACGTGGGAAGGGTATACATGTTTGGAGCTACGACAGGATCCCAGATTATAAGTTCTATTAGATACGACTTAGGTTTTACTGGTGGAAATTATAGTATTGCTGGTATAAGTAGTCAATAATTACAATATGTAAAAATGAATCAAACATAATGAATGAGCTAGCCGGTCCTATGCTGGGGCTGGTGGTGAGGGTTTTACCTAACGATGCACAATGTGAAGAGAATATGGAGAGGTCTTACCACTTCTACGCTTGGTACAATAATCTTTTGTCGTAGGAGGGAAGCTGCTAACATTTCCATCATTAGAAATTATACTCCGAGCTACTTATTAACTGTAGTACTTTCCTTCTGGAAATGATTTTGAGAAATCCTCTTCTTGCTTCATTTTTCAAATGGTTCAGATAATTGCTGTTTATTGTATTATGTTTATTTTTTGTAACTGCATTTTCATTAATGCAGGTGCTACACTGGTTATTTCTGTTGACGGTCTCAATTTCTCAAAGGATGCCATCCAGGTACTGTATATATATATAATTCAAACCCCCCCCCCCCCCCCCCCCCCCCCCCCCCCCCCCCTTCCCTCTTCCCAAACACACCCACCCAACTGAGATATTTAGGTACTGAATCTCTGTTTTGGTTTTGTCAGCTTCGTTGAGTTAACATATAGGAAAATTGCTGATTAGTTATACTTTCTATTACAAAGAACAATAAGTCTTATAATACATTAGAACTTTATTAGGAACAAAGTCTTACTTCAATAAATATCTCCAACGAAGTGCAGAATTTTGTTAACAATGAAAATTTCCGGTATTGGCTTTTCTTGTTGAAATAACTGAATTACTAATTATACCCTTTGTCTCTTTTTTTTTTGTAACTACTATCAATTTACAATAACAATGAAAAAGTGACCTTTGTCTTACTCCTCAGGCCCTCGCAGTTCTGCTCGCTTAACATCAAAATTAAATATATTTTTTTTAGTAAATAGCCAGCTGCCCAATAGAACGAATTCTAGAATGCCTTGCCAGTTGCCACACAGGCTTGAGTTGAGTTGAATGGGGGGTGTCAGTGTAATTAGGAACAAAGTCTAGACATGATGGACCCAAGCTTGAGTTGGGGAGTTCGATACCTTAAGTAAGTTTGGTTCAGCATCTGATCTGTTCCATTCTGTTGAGATTGTTTATTTTCTTTGGGTATGTAAGAACACCTGCATCCAACTCAATCCACTAGCCCTCAGCCTCCCGTGTAAAGGATGGTGGTGGAGTAAATATTTACATGTATCATGCCTGAAGTATGTTTTTACATTCTATAGCTACTCTTATGGAGTAGAGTAAATAGCAAATGTGGTTGATTATATTATAGTGTCACTCTTGCTTTATGAAGGTTATCCCGTTTTCATGATGCATAAGAAACAAATTGTAGGCATAATGGTCTAGAAAAGGTCTACCTAGAAACTTAAGGTGGAGTGATTTTATTGCTTGTGTTGTGCCTGGCTGTAGGTTAGGTTTGGGGTTGATCACGCCCTTCAGTTCCATTTTAACAGACCTTGATTGCCTTAAATACTGGTTGTTGCCTTTACATACAGGTTATTGACCTTGTGATATGATATACTTGTTCTGTTTTGTAAAAACTGGCAGATTATAATTAAGATGTCAGCTGCAAAGCCTGCAAATGGAGTAAGACATGTTTGGGTTGGTCAGAATGGGCTCTCCACTCCTGCTATATCAGCTGTTATACGTGAAAGAACTGGTTCGGATGTAAGATAATCAGCTTTGTATTGCTACTCTAGATGTGTTGTGGAGTTCTCTTTTCATTATTACATTAGCAGTAAGACTTAACATTAAAAAGCAGGTCACAGCCAATTATGATCTTCTGTAAATTCCACTGCAGGGATCCAAGGCAACAGGAGCATTCATTTTGACAGCAAATCATAACCCAGGTGGTCCCAATGAGGTACCAGCTATGTTTGCTTCAATTATAAATTTTTATATTGACAAAACTTGTACAGTTTTGGTGATCCGTGATTTTACATTTTTTATACCAATAATAGATGTGGGTTCTTTTTTTATTTATTAATTTTATTTTAGCTTTAATTCTGTCATTGGTGGTGGAGTGCATCACTTGCATTTATCATCTTCTTTCACATTATTTTCTGGATTTTGGATTAAGTGATGCAACGATTGTTTATCCAAAATCATGAAGGTCACAGTGGTTGAAAAAAATGGCTCCATGTTAATTCACAGCTGGGAGAGCAATTTCTGTTTTATAATTTTTTTGGAGCTTACATTGTATACAAGGTGTCTCGTTGTTCAATTTGCTTTCTATGTTATTTGTAAATCCCATGTTATCTGTAAGTCGGATAACAGGTTAATGGGCTAATTTTTATTTGTTGAAGTAGACTTCGTAACATCAGCATGCACATAACATTCTTTGTTGGCTAAGTTATGCCATTGCCAATATGCACTGCAGATGTTCGCTTCTAATTTTGCTTGAAATCCTCTTCTTGATTGCTCATGGTTACTTCAAAATGTTTGATTCACGCGTGTGGTATTAAATCTTTTTGTGCTGGAGTCATTTAGTTTAAGATCTTATGGCCCTATTATTTATTTATTTTTTTTTTCTTTTCGAATTAGAAAGAGCAGGGCCTTACTTATTCAGGGGAGACGATAGTCTGATAAAGGGATAAGGGGCCTTTATGATCGGTGAAAGGGAATGTTCTTCATAGGGGGAGAGAGAAAAAATGTGGCCCAAGCACTTTTGAGTTTTTGTTAATTGTCGGTTTTTAAGTAATTAGAAAGCAGTTTTAATTTTGCTGAAGTTTGTTCTGACAATCTTTCGACATTTGATTTTTAAAGTTTCTTTCAGTCCAAAACAATAATTTATTTACTGTATAACAGGAATGGTATCATTGTTTTGCTATTGAGGGTAATACTAGGGAAAGAGGAAGGCCAAAGTTAACGTCGGTAGAGTTAGTAAAAAAGGATATGATAACATGTGGTTTGATTGAGTCTATAGCCTTAGGTAGAATAAAATGGAAACATGGGATTCATGTTGCCGACCCCAAGTAGTTGGGAAAAATGCTTCTTCTTCTTGTACCGAAGGCTCTGAATAGGTCATAGTGAGAGTGCCAAATTAGTCCTAGAGGGTTGTGTATTGGCCGTATGGATATTAATTTCAAAATTCAATTATTTACTAGATGCTCTGATTATGATTTGACTTTTTGTTTGTTTTAGTTATTCCTTATAGTGTGTATCCAATCACACAATTACATGAGCATGAAATATAAATAGAGAGCAGAGACATGAGAGTTTTACATGAAAAACCATAACAGAGAAAAGTGACGTGATCTCGCTCAGCCATAAATGATCGTCTATGAGAAATCGGTTACAAATATGTTGCAATTCCCACACCCTAGAACCCCTAGTTACATCTTGACACAGACTGTAGCCAAACTGACACTCAGACTCTCAGGTCCTTCATTCACTCCACTAGCAAGGCTTGCTTCATGCAATCTTCTTCTTCATGGTTGTCCAAATCTTCTGCTCAATATTCTGATCGGTTGAATTAATTTGCCTTGAAATTTGGTGATCTTCCTTCTTGTTGAACACTCAATTACATATGATGAAGCCCGAGAACACAGTAGATCAAGTAAACAAAGATTTTCTCTCTTTACATGATCAAAGGCTTGTGTCACACCCTAGGCTAATTATAAACCTATATTTATAGCCAATATATGTAGCTTACACGTTTTGGTAAGTTGAATCCTTATACAAATCTGTTTTGAGTGTTTTTCAAAAAATAAAATTTCGGGGTTCAGTCAATTGAGGCATCGATCGGCACATATTGGAAACCACCCGAGGGTTACTGTAGTTCAAAAGAAATTATTGATAAAGATTCGACAGATCCACCAATCAATTGAAGTCTACTGGAGAGCGCTTTGATCTATTGATCTATCTCTCGGTTCACATTCATTGCTTTTGAGAAAAGACTTAGTTTAGAACCTGTTCAAATTTCAATACTTTGAAAAGTCATTTTTCAAAAACAAGTTTGAACTAACACTTTGGGCCTCACCAAGATCCGAGTTAGGTTATCTAATGTCTTTATAAGGGCATGACTCTTTGGCACAATGCAACCAAGGTTTGAGTAGGACATTGCCAATACATGACTCATATACCCAACGGCAATCCATATGATACTTAACATTGGGTTTATTGATTATATTGTGTTTTTGGTTTATTTGTGAATTGTATATTATATCTAATCTTTATTTGATTTCTATTCATATATATATATGTGACAAACATTTGATGTTGATATAGTCAGAAGTTTACGGTGAGTGATTAGTGTTCATTATATGTTCCAATGACATGCAATTCATGTACCCATACACCACAATACATGACTCATATACCTAACAGCAATCCATATGATACTTGTTGAAACACTTATATGTATATATGCATTTAGGTTGGGGTCTTATGGTAATTAGATATAGGGTTTGTGGCTGTTATGTAATTATGCCTTTATTGTATTGTATTGTATATAAACTCTCCTTATGTCTTAGGGTTTAGAATAATGAAAATATGAGAAGCTTCTTCAGTGTCTCTCTCTTACGGTCTCTCTCTCTCTCTCTCTCTCTCTGTGTGTATTTCTACAATATACATATCTTCACTTTTACATGGTATCAGAGCGGATCAAAATTGTGAGTGTGGGAAATTGCAATTGTATTGTTCTTGTATAGATCTGTAGAGTTCAGAGCTCGCGACGGTATAAATCTGTAGATCTGTTCGCGACGGTGGTGGTGTTGCCGTTTTTTTTTTTTGGTGTCGACGAGCTCGCCGCCGTTTCTTGTCGTCGTCGCTCGTCTCTCGTCGTCATCGCTCGTCTCTCGTCGTTTGGTCTCAGATCTGAAACCCAGTTTTGTTACTCGCCGCCTTCTCTTGCCGTCGCTGCTTGCTGCTTGGTCACCGACGGCTGTTGCGAGGTGCATCGCTGCTTGCTTATTCCATCGTCGTTGCCGCTGCCGCTGCGTACTCGCCGGAGAGTTGAGAGACGAATGGTGTTTGGCTACAGGTGTTCGCTATCCTAATCCAGGTTAATATAAACCGGATTTGTTTCGGCCCGATCCAAGGTCCGGCTTGTTCTACCCGAACCAGAATCCGGCCCGCTAGACCCGATCCAGAATCCGGCCCGCTAGACCCGATCCAGAATCCGGCCCGTTAGACCCGATCCAGGATCCGGCCCGATTCTCTTGCCGGGTCTGTTTCGCTCCGAATCTTCTTTTGTTCGCGGTTAAACTCTGGTCTTGCCTTCTCGTGTGCAACAGCCTCTTTGGTAACTTGGCAGAGATAAGTTTTCTTTTTCCTTTCATATTCACATCTCCATGCCGGAAGATTCAAATGTTGCCTCTGGGTCTTCTGGAGTTAAATCTTTTGCAACATATGTTGATCCTGTTGGGCTGCAAATTACATCTATGAAATTAAGTAATTCCAATTACTTACTATGGGCTAAAGCAGTAAAGATTTCTTTAGGTGCCCGACGAAAGCTGAAGTTTATTACTACTGATCCTCCATCAAAAACATCAGCAACATATGAGGAATGGGAAACTGATAACTATATGGTTATGTCTTGGTTGTGGAACAGTATGGAACCTTCAATTGCATCCACTTTTATGTTTGTCAACACTGCCAAGGCAATCTGGGATGCAGTTAAAGAAACTTATTCCATGGACACAAATGTTTCGAGCATATATTCTTTGTATGAAAAGATATTTCATTCTCGTCAATCTGACTTCTCTGGTCAAGGGCTTGGTGAGTATTACAGTAATTTCAAAAGCCTGTTAGATGAGTTAAATCATTACCACCCCTTGACTACTGATCCTGATGTTCTCAAGCGACAACGTGAGGAATTTTCTGTTTCAATTTTTCTTGCTGGTTTGCACCCGAACCTTCATAATATTCGGGACCAGATTCTTGCGGGTGATGGAGGACTTCCATCTTTGGGTAACATTTACTCCCGCTTACTTAGGGTTTCAGAACAATCACATGTGACACCCATTGGAGTGAAAGAAAATTCAGCTATGATGATTCCTTCTTTTTTTCCACAGTCCTCTAGAGGTCGTGATAGTTCTACTGGCAACAGAGGGTATGGTGGAAATTCAGGAGATATTCCTAGTGGCAACAGAGGGTATGGTGGAAATTCAGGTAGTTCTCGTGGCGGTAGTGGCCGCGATAGAAGTCGCAATCGCCGTGGTCGTGGACGTAGTGACACTCGTATGTGCAGCCACTGTAAAGGTACTAACCATTCTGTTGAGAATTGTTGGACTCTTCATGGGAAACCAGCATGGGCAAATCAAGCAGTATCTTCCTCTGACCTTGCGGGGTCTCATCCCTCTCTTGGTCAGACTTCTGTATTACCATCACCTGCAGCTACTAGTGACACTGTGACACTATCACTATCACGAGCTGAGTTCAGTGCTTTGGTCAACCGGACACATCCCAACTCTACTGATGTAATTAATTTTGCGCAATCAGGTAATATTGCATGCTTGTCCGATTTATAGACTTCAGCATCCCCTTGGGTCATTGACTCTGGGGCTTCTACCCATCTCACAGGTGATGCCTCTCTATTTTCTAACTTTCAGAAGTCTAGTTCCTCATCTTTTGTTACTCTGGCTGATGGTAGAACATGTTCCATTATTGGCAAGGGAACAATTAAATTAACCCCATCCATTTCTTTATCCTCTGTGCAATTAGTTCCAAATTTTCCTTTTAATTTATTATCTGTAAGTAAATTGACTCAAGCTCTGAAGTGTTTTGTCACATTTTATCCTTCGTCTTGTGTCTTTCAGGACCTCAACACGAAACAGACGATTGGTGGGGGCAGTAACAGAAATGGCCTATACTATTTGGATTGCAAACCTTCCACTGTTGCTTTACATTCCCAGATGTCTGTGTGCCAGTGGCATTACCGGTTAGGTCATCCCTCGTTGCAGTATTTGAAGTCTGCTTTGCCTTTTCTTGAGTCGGTACCTATTTTAAATTGTGAGTCTTGTCAGTTGGGTAAGCACCATAGAGTGCCGTTCCCTCCTCGTATTGTTAATCGTCGGTCTTCTTTATTTGAATTAGTACATACGGACATTTGGGGTCCCGCTCGTCACACTAGTCACTCAGGTTTTTCTTATTTTGTTACCTTTGTTGATGATTATTCAAGGATGACTTGGTTGTTTTTAATAAAAGACCGTTCTGAACTGTTTTCCATATTTCAAATATTTTTAAAAGAAATTGAGGTCCAATTTGGGTGTGTTATACGCACTTTACAATCTGATAATGCTATGGAGTATGTCAAAGGTGCTATTTCTAATTTTTGTGACTCCCGTGGTATTTTGCACCAAACTTCTTGTTCTTATACTCCTCAACAAAATGGCGTAGCTGAACAGAAAAATAGGCATTTAATTGAAATAGCTCGTACATTGATGATACATATGCATCTTCCAAAAGCATTTTGGGGTGATGCTGTTTTAACTGCTTGTTATTTAATTAATCGTATGCCATCTTCCGTTCTTAATTGGAAATGTCCTTACTCCTTTGTTTTTCCTACTCGACCATTATTTGCATTGCCGCCTCGTGTTTTTGGGTGTGTGTGTTTTGCTCACATATTACGTCCTGGCGCTGATAAATTGTCTCCTCGTGCCATTAAATGTGTCTTTATTGGATACTCTCGGACTCAAAAAGGTTATAAATGCTGGGATCCTAGCACTCATAAGGCTTTTGTGTGCATGGACGTTACAATTTTTGAGGATACTCCTTATTTTTCTTCACATAGTTCGTCTTTAGATACCGAGCTGCTGCTTCCGTTACCTGTTGTGTCAAATTCATTACCCTGTGACCCACCACAATCACCTCATGTGCCACCGCCTCTTCAAGTGTATAGCCGTCGATCACGAGTAGCCCCCCCCCCCCCCCCCCCCAATTGTCTACTTCTATTGAGGCTCCTCCTGCTACTGATGATCTTCCTATCGCATTACGTAAGGGTGTTCGCTCCTGTGTCACTGCACACCCCATATCCAACTTTGTTTCCTATAAAAAGGTATCGCCCTCATTTTCTTGTTTTTTATCCACGTTATCTGCTACTGCTGTTCCAAAAACTGTGCAGGATGCTCTATCTGATACAGCTTGGCGCAAAGCCATGATAGATGAAATGGATGCTCTTCATCATAATGGGACATGGGATCTTGTTTCCTTACCCCTCGGTTCCAAAACGGTTGGTTGTAAGTGGGTCTACACTATCAAATATCTCCATGATGGATCTGTTGAGCGATTGAAGGCTCGTCTTGTTGCAAAGGGATACACACAAACCTATGGTATTGATTATGATGAAACCTTTTCTCCTGTTGCGAAAATTTCTTCTATCCGAATCCTTATTTCTATTGCCGCCAATCGTAATTGGCCATTGTTTCAATTAAATGTGAAAAATGCTTTCTTACATGGTGACTTACATGAAGAGGTTTACATGGAGCAACCACCTGGATTTGTTGCTCAGGGGGAGTCTCGTTATGCTGTATGTCGACTTAAAAAGGCCCTGTACGGATTGAAACAATCTCCAAGGGCTTGGTTTGGAAAATTCTCCGAGGCAGTACTTTCCTTTGGCCTTAACAGATGTGAGACAGATCATTCGGTATTTCACCAACATACTTAAACTGGCTTTATATTTCTTGTGGTATATGTAGATGATATTGTTATAACAGGTGATAATTCTGACGGCATTGCAAAGTTAAAATTGTTTTTGCAGAATCGGTTTCACACAAAGGATCTAGGCAAACTCAAATATTTCTTGGGTATTGAGGTTGCTAGATCCAAGGAAGGTATAAGTCTATCTCAAAGAAAATATGTGTTGGACTTGTTAAAAGAAACAGGTATGTTAGGTACTCGCCCTGCTGATGCTCCTATGGACCCAAATATAAAATTATTACTTGATGAGGGTGATTTATTTAACGATCATGGCAGATATCGACGTCTAGTTGGGAAATTAATTTATCTCACTATCACCCGACCTGACATTTCATATGCAGTTAGTGTTGTAAGTCAGTTCATGAGTGTTCCTAGAGTACCACATTGGAATGCTGTTCTTCGAATTATTCGATATCTCAAACAAGCTTCAAACAAGCTCCAGGTTTTGGATTACTATATAAACCTAATGGTCATCTTAATGGGACAGGTTTCACAGATGCTGACTGGGCTGGTTCTCCCTCAGATAGGAAATCTACTACAGGCTATTGTACACTTGTTGGTGGAAACCTTGTTACATGGAAAAGTAAGAAGCAAACAGTTGTAGCACGGTCTAGCGCTGAAGCAGAATATAGGGCGATGGCCCATACCTCTAGTGAGTTAACGTGGATTCAACACTTTCTTGAAGAACTTGGGTTAATAGTCAAGACTCCTATTCCACTGCTATGTGATAACCAAGCTGCTATTCACATCGCATCCAATCCGGTTTTTCATGAAAGAACCAAGCACATTGAAGTTGATTGTCACTTCACTCGAGAGAAAATATTGAGTGGAAATATTTCTACTCCATTCGTGAAGTCTGAAGACCAATTAGCTGATATGTTTACTAAGGCTCTTGGTCTTAATTGGTTAAAAATAATTTGTTCCAAGCTGGGATTATATAATATATATTCTCCAGCTTGAGGGGGAGTGTTGAAACACTTATATGTATATATGCATTTAGGTTGGGGTCTTATGGTAATTAGATATAGGGTTTGTGGCTGTTATGTAATTATGCCTTTATTGTATTGTATTGTATATAAACTCTCCTTATGTCTTAGGGTTTAGAATAATGAAAATATGAGAAGCTTCTTCAGTGTCTCTCTCTTACGGTCTCTCTCTCTCTCTCTCTCTCTCTCTCTGTATTTCTACAATATACATATCTTCACTTTTACAATACTAAACATTGGGTTGATTGATTATATTGTGTTTTTGGTTTATTTGTGAATTGTATATTTTATCTAATCTTTATTTGATTTCTATTCATATATCTATATCTGACAAACATTTGATGTTGATATAGTTAGAAGTTTATGGTGAGTGATTAGTGTTCATTATATGTTCCAATGACATGCAATTCATGTACCTATACACCACATGTCAAATACATGCATTTTATTTTACTCTAATTCAAGTGTTATTTTTCTTCAAAATTTCCATAATTTGTGCTATCACTAACCATATTTTTTCCTCCAAAAGTTGAGATAACAATATCACTAGCCATGTGTTTGTCGTTGTACCTATATTTTTCGAACTTTTGATGTACTTATTGATACTTTATTCCTTGGTCTCGCGATTGTGTGAGTGCGTGCCAGAGTGTGTGGGCAGTCATGTGCCTTCGATAACCTTTTTTAGGATGAGTTTTTATGGCTGAATACTCTTCCGATTTGTAAGATCAACTCTTTTTCCCACGTCAAGTATCCTTTATTTTCTGTGTTGTCTGAGTACAAGAATTTTAAGCTAAAATTGCATCGCGTAATATGGAAATTCACATTTTTATTTATCTCAATCTTATTTCTGTGTTGTTAGATAGAAAGGATGAAAATAAAGTAAAACAAAAGCTATCCATTAAAAAATTAAGGTCCCGTTTGTTTGGATGTAAAATATTTTTTTATTTTTTGGTGTTTGGTTGTCGTAAAATAGTTTCGAAGAAAAAAAATATTAAAATTTAACAAAAATAACTTATACATCAATTTTCTACATGTTATTTTATATGCCCCGCTTGAACCTTTGTCAAACACCGATATAGCATAGACATAGTAAAAATAAAAAAATATGTTTGAAAAAGAATATTGTCGGGAGCAACTCAAAACTGGGAGCTGTCAATAAAATAATAATTCATGTGTATGCCAAAATTATTGCGTCAGGAAATAAACTGGAAAGACAAGAAATGCGTGGGTGGACGATAGCACGTCTATTCCGAGGAGAAAACAATGACGTTTGATCTTCCATTTGAGTAACGAAATAGCAGGAATTTTCAAATAGAGTTTTCAGATGGCTAATCTCTGATTCTCTTTCTAATGCTTTTTTGTTTCTTATTTTGATTTTTATACAGGATTTTGGAATTAAATGCATGGCAAATGGACCTGCACCAGAGGGAATTACTGTTAAGATCTTTGAGAACAGAAGAACATTTGAGGAGTACTTGATGGCTGATGGCCTGCCACATGTATGACCACCTTCTTAAGCAATAGTGATATTGCTAGATTGCATCATGTTGCCTTACCGATTGCATGCTTATCATAAATTTGTTGATATTTATTCCAGGTGGATATCTCTGCAATAGGCATAACAAAGTTTGCTGGACCAGGGGGGCAATTCGACGTTGATGCTTTTGATTCACCTAGTGATTTTGTGAAATTGATGAAGTATGCTATCTTCACAGGATCAAACCTATAAGTTCTCACTTTTTAATGGGATATTTGTACGCTGTAATGCATATGGTAATTGTCAAAACATTATTCATTTTGGCTAAAGCACAAATGAATGGTAGCCAAATACTGTATTAAAGTAGGTTAATTTCCTACCAACCTGATAGGCCAAGGGTGAATGGTGGGATGTGCCATATCCTTGCACGAGACGACCCACGTAGATACAGCTATCCTTTTGAGTTATGTGCTTGTATAGCGTTGTTCATACATCCCTATATCATATTTTTTGGGCTCAAAAAATACCTTTGGGTTATTGGAAGCGTAGTCTTCAAATTATGAATAGAAAATTGATTAAATGATTGAAAGGTTGTTTGGAATGACCACATTCAAACTTCTTTTCTTGCAGAAAAGAAGACTTCAAGATCTTTATTATGATTGGAAAGGAAAGAAATTGAAATACAGTAGCAGGAATTGAAAGGATAATTAAAACGTGTAGTTATGTGTTGAACAAAGTTTACAATGCACATAAGTATGTCCTATTTATAAAACTCTAGGATGACAATGCTACAATGTCTTCCTTACATAAGTAGGTATCATCAACCGTTGTGAGCTTCCATGTGGAACGGTCAAAATTCTCGCCAGGTGTCCTATGTCTTCCTTGTTCTTCTCATTGTGTTTGCATGTCTAAGACCGTGTTTCTCTCTGTTAATGGGGTGTCCTACCAAAGGACTAACTTGGGCAGCTCAAGTCCAATTTTATTATTATTTTTTTTTTTAACTACCCAGTTCATATACAATACTACTATTCTTTTAGTCCGGTTCATGTGTAATAGTAGTATTCCTCTTAACCCAGTTCACTTTGCAATCTTGCCTCTGGTTTGCAACTTTTACAAAGTGGTGTTAATGGCTTGAATCATGCGGCATGTTCTTTGCCCACGTTTTTAATGGACATCTCACGTTCTTAGGCAATCCTTCATCGTTTGTTGGTTTTAGGCAAGTCTTTTGTTAATCTCTTAAGAGACAATATTTATGTCATCACCACTACATATGTGGCACAATCAAAAAGAGAAGGAACGGAAGTCAGGTTGATCCATTTTATCTCTAGACAATATTATTCTTTTTAACTTTTTGATTGACATTGTGACATATTTGGACGATATTATTCTTTTTTATTTTTGATTGACCAGTCAAGATTGTGACATATTTGCGATGACAATATTATTCTTTTTAACTTTTTGACATTGTGACATATTTGGACGATATTATTCTTTTTTATTTTTAATTGACCAGTCAAAATTGTGACATATTTGCAATGAGAATGGTGTTGGGCCTCACCTAACTATTATTATTTGAATGAGAGTTGAAATGTACTCTCTCAAAGTGGAGAAGACAATGGACAACCTTTTTTAACCCCTCTCCCAGGTTAGAATAAACAATCAGGAACTTCATTGACAAATTGTGTATCAATTTCAACAGAAAATTCAAGGAGATGGAATCACAGGCTTCTTCAAATCTACTTTCAAAGCCAGAGACTCACCACCACTCTTACTAAAAAAGCCTTTTAGGAGATCATGAGCCAAAACAATGTTACCTTGATATACTTGGATATTGGAATTTCTTAGAAAATTGTCTAAATGCTTTGCAGCCAATAATGGAGACACACACACACACACACACACACATCTTTCTAGGTAGCCAGTCTTTCCCTCTTATAAAATTTCACCTTGCTGCCAACATATTATACAAGTGACTGAGACCCCATCTTTTGATTGATTTGTAGTCGAAATGAACCTTTAGTTTTCCAAATGATATTTTCTCTCCATTAGAAGGGCAGTAGGAAAATGCTTGGTTATGATATTATCCTTCAAGTTGAAGTATGCACAAATTTCTTGGAGTCCTTATTCCCTCTTAGAAAATTTCTTCTTTTTTGTGGGTTAAATTTCAAATTTTATATATGCTGCCAACATTTTACAAGTGATTGAGAGTCCCCCATCTTTTCTTATCTCTCCCCATTTGAAGGAAAACGCTTGGTTATAATTAGCTTTTTTCTCAGTGATGTATGGTGAAATATGTGTTTTTTATTTTATACGTTCAGGTTCAAGGTCTGACTAAAATTCTCTTGATGGTTGCTGGAAACTTCCGCAGAGTATGAAGTCTTCCTATGCTGGATTCTCTGTTTTTCTCTTGATTTTGTCAGCTACTTCTTTAGTTGTATTTGATTTATTAATTCATGTGATAGTGGCTTCTCTTTGCTTTGCTATGATTTCTGATCAATCTACATTTTGCGAAAATGAATGTAGAATTTAATTGTTTCGAAGAACCATTTGGTATCCAATTTCTCCTAAAATTCACAAATTGCCCTCCTTTATATATCATAATAATAAAATTAATAACATTTTTTCTCCTCTTTTTTGTTTGCAGTTTGTGACTTGGAGGCATAAATCAACAGATCGATTTGTTGTTGGAATAGTTAGATTTTTAAACCACACAATTACTAAGATTCCGCTGTTGGATTTTGTATTCAAATTAATTTTTTTTTTTACTTTGGTAGGTGACTTATGATAATAACCTTCAAGTTGAAGTACGCAAAAATTTGTTAGAAATATTTTTGGGATATTTACTAGCAGGCTTTTTAATAGTAACTTGTTATGAATAGAAATAAGACAAAGCTACCCAATAGCCAAGGGGTAAGCTTTACTATGAACAGCAGAAAAAGACCATTTCTGGTTTTCCTGTTAACTTAGTTTCTTTGTATTAACTAAGAAGGGACCAAAAACGACATGCAGTAGTACAACAAACTCCATAAATCCATCAATTTCATGAATATTAAGGTAGAAAAAAAAAAACAAAAATCATCTAAAATAGCTACAACCCAAGTGATCAACGAATACCATTAAACATGATAGTGCCTAAATTAACCGATGACAAAACAACCATAAAATGAAATTTGTGCTATGCTACACTGGTTCTGAGACAATAGTTAGTGAATAGTGACCTTTAAAATGCAATAGGATGCTCTCTAACCATAGTCAATTGTGGGAAATTAATTAAAGATCAATAAAAAGTTGCCTCTCCTAATTTGAGTAGTTACTTCTCATCACAATCACAATTACAATTATTATTATGAGAACCATTTCAAAAAACAGGGAAGTAGATTTCAAGATTGAGGTTTAAAGTTACAAAACACTAAAATAAAATCCACGTCTCAATGTATGGATAGAGGCTACAGTGTTTAAACCGCAGAAGCTGAGAAGAAGAAGAACCAGGATGGTGTGCTACATCATGAAGCTTCTTAAAGGTATTATCCTTTAAGTTGTAAGAGATAATCATGTTGGTGCCTACAAATAGCATCAAATACACATCTTCTTCAATATGAATTTGATACAAGTAATTATCCTTCTTATATTTGTGTGGTATTCTCTGAAGCAAAACAACTTTGTAGTGAAGTGATTTGGAAGGATCAAAAGCCAAATATAAAGGGTCAGCAGGATAACTAGTGCGGGAAAAGGGCCAGGGAAGAGACCGGAATTGCTTTGTGGTAGGATTGTAGACTTGGTAAGATCGGGGACTATAGCCTGGCTTTTTTAAACAGCAGAGTAGCAGACCATTGCAGGAGTGTATGATAGTTGTATTGATAGGGTACATATTGGGAAAGCGCTCTAAAGACTTGCTTTTTCCAACATCATCTGTTTCTTTGAGAGGAATGTATTTGATTTCAGTTCGGGATTTACAGGTGTAGAAAAGGCCGGAAATTTTGGGATGATCATGGGATTGTTTGCGCTGTTGCCAGAGGATACAGAAGGTACGATCGGAGATTAGAGAGAACCATGTTTTCGAGATAGACTTGAATCGAAGGAGGGATTTCGGCGGCAGAAGCAGAAGGATCTCCATCACCAGGTCGTGGTTACTGCCGATGATTTCAGCAGCGGCGGAGGAGATTTGGGCCATTAATCAACTTCTTCTTCTTCTCTTCTCTGTCTCTCACTTCTGTTGAATCCACTTCAGACTTGTTCCTTTCTTTGAATTGTTCTAATTAAACACTTATAAAACAATCGGATGAGAACACAAGGGAAACGGCGAGACAGATTGAAAGTTGTCTTTGCTCAAGTCTGTGGAGACAAATTGACAATACGGATAGAACGCCGCCATGCTGATCGCAATAGACAATACAGCCACCGGCAGATCTGACCAGAACAGACGAGCGCGGTGTAGGTGTGACCTAAAGAAAAACCTAGGAATTGAGATTAGATACGCACAGTTAAGGATTAAGTGCAAAAAAAAAAAAAAACAAGGAAAAAAATATATATAATAATAATTGAACCGCGTTAGTTAAAGGGTGCTGTTTTAGCATGGAGTTTTTTATTTTTTATTTTTACTCACTCACCCTTGTACTTATTTTAATATACTCCACATATATATGTATTTCATTATCACTTTTTAGTTGCATATCCACCACTATTGCAGCTGTACATATTTTTTTTCTTGTTCAACTTGGGTTAATTACTCATTATACATATATATATATATATTTCTTAATATGTATCATAATATAATGTTATATATAATATATACTATTAAATATTATTTATATTATATTTGCATTTTCATCCGGCCTTTAGACCTATATAAATTTGGATTTTTCTTTGAAATTTACCTGCTATTTTATTTTTATTTTTATTTTTATTGTACATTCATTTTTTTAGTTTTTATTAATTTTCATTTTATACAGATTTGTTTAAGGGTTTCATTTTCTACCACTACAAGAAATAAAGCCTAAATTTTTCTTTTTTTTTTTTTTTAATTATTTATGCCTACATGTTTTTTCTTCTTCTTTTTTTTTTTTTTTTTTATATATTTCAAAATAATTTTATTCTATGAAAAATATATTCCTCCTATCTTACTAATGTAAACTTGACGATCTTCGTGACATTATACTAGAATTGTTTAATCCATGCTTTTACAAACAAAATAGAATTTTTTTTAATTAAATAAAAAGATTACTTAAAGCATGGATATACTTAAAACACGTTGGAATATCAAGGAGAGTGAAAAGAAAGAAAGAAAGAAATAGGGAAGGAGGAGCGAAAAAGTGAGTCGAAGCTTGGAAACCGTTGTGTTTTAAATTGATTTTTTTTCTTTCTGGAAGTTGTTTTAGATTGAAATTTAATGATACATGTTAGCGTATTGTTAAAGCATGGAGTTGTATACTAAATAGAATGTCACCTAAGCCATATGGGACATGATGCCGTTCCATGGGTACTTGAAATAGGATCTTGGAAGGATGTCTTGGAAATTATTTTAAATCTTTTTGAAAACAAACGAAAGCCGGAAGACTTGATATCATTTTGACATACAGAAAACAAATGATAACATGCTAGTTTGAATTTAAGCATTTATTTAGATTTGAGGAAATCTTGAAACTAGTGAAAAAATGACTCAGTTTGAAGGCTTTTACCAAGTAGCGAGAATTAACTAGAGTTTTCAATGGAGATTTTGAAAGGGTAATAATAGGGATTTTGTGTTTAATTTGAGTGAGAGAATAGATGGGAAAGATTTGAAGATAGAAGCCCCTTTTAAAAATGTGATGGAGTTTTGGATATCTTGATTATGACAAAATATTTTCCAAAGAAATTATTTGGCATGGTTTGCATTAATGCGCACGTAAAAATGTGTTCTTAGAAAATGATCTCCTGCCTGAACTTTCTTTTCTCTTTGGGCAGAACCTTTAATGTGCAATAAATCAAAATTTCAATCAAATTCTTGCTGATACGTTCATTTTTCCTGTGTGTATGTCTTCTTGTTCTATGAACATGTACAAGACTCTTGCTGGTACCCCTGATGTTTCTTGAATGACTTACTTCTCATGCTATTCGTTTTTGCGGTCCAAATTCAATCCGCTATTAAAAGTTGGTTTAGTTTTTGTTAGTATATTAAGTAGCTGTACTCCTTCCTGATATAAGTGCAACTAAATTTATTCTCTCTATATCTCATGTAATGTTTCCTAGCATATCGGAGTAAGGGAGTTTGCATTACTTTCATGTTAGTTATTGAGATTTCACTTGATGTTCTGCATTCCTGAGACTTACTTCCCATTTTGGAATTGCACAAAAAAGACTATTTATCTCAAAGTATTATTCTGACTTAAGGCATCTGGATTCCAAAGCTCTTCGATGCTTGTTAGCAGCTTTCGTCAAAACTTATTGTTTCAGACGAAGGCTAGCTTCCGAGAACAATCCATCCCAAAGCATGGAAGTGTCCATGTTGCAGCAGGTTGTTCCACGGCAGGAGAACTATTCCCAAAGTCGTGCAGTTGCTCTTCAAAATGTGGAATCCACAATTTCAGAACTCAGTGAGATCTTTGGCCATTTGGCCACAATGGTTGCACATCAAGGGGAATTGGTTATCAGGTTTCTTCTTTTTCTTGAAAATCTATTGTTTAAACCCCTGCATCTTTAAATTCATATATTTTATCTGCCTGGGTTTGGAGTGTAAGGAATCAAACTAGAGTACATATGACCACCAAACATTAGCTTGAGTGGTATATTCTCCACTTTCCAAAGAGGAGGTCGTTCCAAGACCCGAAAGGGGGAAAGTGATTATGTGTATATTCTTATCAATTAAAAGAAAATAAATAAAGAAATTAGAGCAAATATGGCATATCTCCTTTTGGAGCTATAAGTGCATTGTTTTCTGTTCACCGAATTAAATTTTTTACTCTCCCATGTTTTAATGTTTAAGATATGCTTGGTTTATATATGATCAGGATTGATGATAACATGGAGGAGTCATTGGCAAATGTTGAAGGTGTTCGCAATGCGCTGTTGAGGCATTTAAACCAAATTTCATCGAACAGGTGGCTCCTAATCAAGATATTTGCTATTTTGATCTTCTTCTTGATGGTATTCTTATTCTTTGTGGTTTAATGAGTGGCTAAAGAGAACCAATTATGAGCCGATCAAATGCCGGAGAAGAACGTGTAAAACAGAAACTGTAGGACAAGATGAAATTTATCTTGGATTGTTTGAATAGTTTTGTAAAACAGAAACTTTATGTTCTTAGAAACAAAGATGATTTCATTCAATTACAGAGTTGGTTTTTGTTCTTTTGATGTGCGATGTTTCTGTTTTTAACTATTTTCTATTTTTGGGAATTTTTTGATTTTTCAGCAGCATTTTCGTCTTTTCTCGTTTTGCGTACCATACACCGTAGAGTGTGCCGGTTGTGTCCGAGAGTTGGTTGGGGCATTTCATGGAGTTCAGGACTCTTTGAAATGTAAGTGTTATCATTTCAGCATTTTTCAGTTTTCCGGACCGGACAGTCTTGGCTGAAACCGTTACCAGAGTTGTTGTGTACGGGAGTTGTGTCTCAGGTCATTTGCATACCATGCATTATTATTTTTGTACCTAAGTAAATTATTTAAGTGCTAAAGTGTGTGGCTATGATATAATTGGAGCATATATATATATTTATTAGTGGTAGAAATTAAGAAGAAAAGAAAAGAGAAAATATATATATATATATATATATATATATATATATATATATTTAAGTGGGGCCCACCATCTACTTTAATGGTGAGGCCAAGAGACCACATGGGTCTCATTCTCTCTCTCACTCTCCCGGCCATCTCTCTCTTATCTCCTCTCATTTCCTTTTCATTTTTCATTTTTCTTGAGGCTTTGATTTTCTCTTCCATTTTCCGGCTAATCGGTCGGGTTTCCGGTCTAGGTTCCTTGATGAAAAACGTTCCTCTCATCGTTCTCTATCACATAGTCAAAGAGTTTATTTTTCAGAGGATCGGTGATTATTTTATGAATTTTTGAACATTTTGGATCTAAGGCTTCGGATGGGGTTTTCGGCCACTTAGAGTCGGATGCCGGTGCTGACCCTTTGGAACAGTAGAATCTCCTCGTCGACGGCTACGTTTTTACGAAACAGTTTTCCGTTCCGCCGCCGTTGACCGGCGTTGACTTTTGTTGACCGGCGGTTGACCGCGTTGACCGGCGTTGTCTTTTTCGGGCGGGGATGTATTTTGGCTACTTTTGAGGTAAGGGTGCTCTAATTCACAATTTCTTAGGTTCTATGTGAATTTTCCCCTTTTAAATTGACTATAAGTATGTTTAATTTCAATTATTTTGGCTATGTGATTGTTGTTGATTATACGTAAAGTGGTGGACGTATGCTATGTGATAAATGAGTTTGTAAATTTAGTTACATCCTTGTAGTGAAGAAGCATGCATAGAAATGACAAGTTGTTTACTTTATGTATTTCAATTGCCATGAAAAATTGATGTCATAATCGTAGAAATAAATGTTTAAAATATTCTTTTACAAGTTGTGATTATGATATGGGTAAAATGTATGGAATATTGTTGTTGAATTTGGCATTTGGAATCATGAAGCATTTATACATCCATTGGGAAAGAAAAAGGGGAAAAGTATATTTTAAAAAAAAAACCAATGTAATTGTTTTGGGGAAAAGTTTTTGAAAAGTGTTTGTGAAAATCCGGACGCCTGGGAGGCGCCTAGTGGTCCGTGGTGTTAGTGTGGTCTAGAGAGGGGACTAGGGAGAGACCCTAGTATGGTTGAGCTAACCAGGCCGGATGCGACGCCTTGGAGGTGCCTTGTGGTCGTGGATGGTTAGTCAATCCCCCTTTCGTAACGCCTTGGAGGTGCCTTGGGTCGGATTACACTAACGGTTTGGAAGTTGAAACGGTATGGTTTCGGAAATGGGGAGTAACATTGCATGGCATGGCACATCATTGGTATACGTGGTGCATTTGGTAATTTGTTGAGATATGTATGTTTGTTGATGATACAGTGGTTTTACTTGACTCCCGAAATATGATCCCGTTATCTTGTTTTCTATTCTCTATGTGGATTCACGGGGTCATAAGAGGTGTGTCTTAGACACTTCCTACTGAGCGTTTAGCTCACCCCATCATTTTAATATTTTTCAGGTCACGGGAAGGAAATGGCGGACGGCGTTCCTCTATAGGTCTTGATGGGTTAGTGGATTGTTTGACCTATTTTGTAGCTATGACCTCATATTATTATTATTATTACTAGTATCATTATCATTATTATGTATTGACAAAAAAAAAGGACGGTAGTGCCCTTAGTTGACCTCGGGTTCGGATAAGGACCCAATTAGCGATTCAGACCCTCGGGTTCGGGTTGTTACAAATTTGGTATCAGAGCAATGGTTCGAATACCATTAGGACGACGGGTAGAGGCCTACCTAGGGTTGTGTGGAAAGTCATTTGTATCATTTATGTGGTTATTTGCTAAAGTGTTTTGTTAATTAAAAAGTATTCTTAACTGTCTATTTGTTTACATGTTTATGTGCTTACAGTTTTGAAAGACATGCTTCCTTACTATGTGTTTGCACGTTTATATGTTTATATGCTAATGTTTATGTTACATAGCCATGTACAAGGAATAGTTAGATGATTTAACCGTGTAAATGAAATGTGAAAGAAAAGGAAAACATGTTGATTGTGTATGAGGAGTATGGTGATGAAAAGTGGTAGGCACGGTGTGTGCAGTTCTAAATTAAATGCTAATGTGACAAGTAATAAACATGGTATATGCAAACATGTTTTGTGTAGCATTGTGGGTTTCATTCATTTTATGTGTGTGTGTATATATATATATATATATGTCTATATTCTTATGTGATTATACGGTTAAGCATTTGGATGGTTGCTAGTACAGTAGAGTACTCGTTGCGGCATAGATGGTTGTGTGGGTTTTGACCTGAGTAGGCTAGGAGCTCGGTTGCTCTAGGGTTGTTTGGGTATCGTTCTTGTCGAACTAATGACATGGGCTTCTAGCTCGTGGATTGAGCTATTTGACATATAGTCATCCTGATCTTCTTAGTTACATTTTGTGCGGTGCTTAGAGCACGACTTTAGAATGGGTTCATATTTTATGGCAAGGTGCCCTTGTTGTGTGTGAGTTTCATGTATTGGTGTATGGTTCTGGTGACCGTAGAGGTCAAATGTACGAGTGAGGGTTTCAGTATGACTTTAGGAGGTCGGTGTTTGCGACTCAAGTCACGGTTTGGTGTAGAGGTTCTTTTCGAACCGATCGTGGTAGGTGTGACGAGGGTTGCTCGAGTCACGAGTGTAGTCTTTAGGTTGTAGACGTGTATTTCGGGTATTCTGGTACGATTCGAGGAAGCATGTTGGTTATGATTGTCAAGAGGACTTGTTGGACTCTATAAGTCTAGGGCGACGTAGGCATTAACTGGAGTCATGTCAGTGTTGTGTGATCGATCGTTTGATTTGATTGAGTTTGTGGAATGTAAAAGTCTGTTTTAGAAACTGGTTTGTTGAGGAGTGATTCCCATTTCGGAGAGCTACAGGAGTGTGTTGTAGGTAATTGACTCTCAGTGAGTTGATTGCAGGGCTCGGTGGATGAGCAGGGTTATTGGTTGTCTCGGTTGTCAAGAGAGTCTCGAAGTGGTGTATAGTGGTCAGTTTTAGCCGTGTAGTGCAGGGTTGCACCATAAGGCAGGTTGTATGAGGTCATTGAAGTGCTCGGTAGTTTACGGATGAAGTGATTGATAGTAGGTACGATGTTACCAAATAGACTGTGTTCTAGGATTTGAAAGCTGTGGACTGGAGTTGGATTTTATGTTATGTTTGAGGTATCAGGAGATTGTGCTTGGTGTTTGAGGATTCGAAAAGGTAGACTGATGATTAGAATGATTGGGACGAGGTTGATTTTGTGGGTTTAGTTGTTAGCCCCATTTGACCTTTTATTGGGGCCAAGGATGTTCTGAAGAACGGTGAAGAGGGGAGGTAATGGTGTTGAACCTAGGGTATGAAGTTTCTTATTTAGGCATGTTGATTGCCTTAAGATGAGTGGTTTGAGTAGCCAGATAAACGTTTATGATTGATTGCATCGCTGATGGTATTGAGGTGATAGTTGGGTGTTAAGCATTCTGGGCTTTATGCTCATTTTTGTTTTGAGGATTTATCGATATGGTATTGTCGTATTGAGGTTCTTTTCTAGTGGTATGCAGTGATCGTTGTGGGGGAGTATCGAGAGTGGTGCTTATTTTCTTATTGTGATGGTCTTAAGGAGGTTGGAGGATGAATTGCTTGGTAGTGGCTTGATAGTCTGGTGGGATAATAGGTTTGAATTGTCAATTTGAATGAGTGGCAGTGAAGGTGTTATGGTGTGATGTTTAGTAATGAGAAGCGGAACAATTTGAGGTATGATCCGAATGTGATTTAGGATTGTAAGTGTTGTTGTATGTTGTCAGGTAAGTGATGGGATTGTGCACCAATTGAGGCAATTGTGGTCAGTTTAGTCTTTAGAACCAGAGAAATAGGTGTTGCCATATAGGAATCTTTTTCTTTTAAAGAGTCAGTGATCTTGTGCGCACGGTGATCGAGGCAATGTTGCCTGGGTAAGTAGAGATGAAATGAATGGTAAAATGTCATTTTATGGCATAGAGGTTGTCGGTTAGGAGTGACTGATTCTAGGTAGAACGGGATACAGTGTCCGAAGGGCTGTGATTATTTTTTAGTGTTGTGTGTCATGAGCGTCGGTGCTCTTACCTGATTGGTTTTGGTTAGCAGGGGTATCACGGTGTATCGTATGCGAGGTCTCTGTGTTGATAATGTGTGACGGTCCGTTAGTGGCGAGTTCGCCTAGAAATGAGTTCGTAGTTCCGTATGGGTATCCATTTGGTTTTTCTCTTTATATGTAAGGAGTCTAGTTCATCTCAGGTGAGATTGGGTGTCCGTGGTTGGACAGTTGGTGTGTAGCATGTGACAAGGTGTCGGGTGCATTCAGGTGCGAGTCGTCAGTCTCTTGTGAGAGCGGGGTTTGTTACCCTTTCCATTTGTTCTAGTCATGGCAAGGACGTCGTTTGTTGTGAGTCTTGTTTTCTATTTAGGAGTTATGCGCGTTCGTGGGTGAACGGACCTGTGTGTGATTTGTTATGTTGTTGAGTTCATCAGTAAAGATTTGGTTGATTTGGTTGACTCACTCTCACGGAGAGAGATAAAGTCATCGGTTTTTAGTAGTGCTCATTTTCAGAGAGGTTTTGACGGCACGAGTTGCCGAATAGAGATTGTAAGTTTCCGGAGTCTAGTACTAGCAGTGATGGCTAGGGGATGCGTTATGAACAGGGAGTTTGGGGATGATTAAGTGATGAGATGTGAGTCATGTACTCAGATATTTTGATAGGTGTTTGATTCGAGCAGTGTCTTGATGATAAGTGTCGATGTTGCCTTTGAATTTTGTGATAGAGAAAGCAAATGTGTGATTTTATTGAGGAATAATAGGAATGATTGACTTTGGTTTTGAGATTTCAAATATGAGACGGTCATATTGTGTGTTTTGAAGAGGTAAGAATTGAACCAAATAATGACATGGAGTTGTTTACCTAGTATGGGTGTTATGAGGGGGTTAGAGATCTTTTTATGCTGGTTGATGATTGTAATGGTTGGTGCCGTGTTGTTTCCAGCTTGTTAAGAGTTGTGTCATTAATGTATGATTAGGATTTTTAGAGTGGGTATATGACTGTATAGTTGTTGAGGTTACGTAGAGTGATGGATTAATGGTGAGTGGATCTCATTGTTGTTTTGTGAAAAGTGTGAAAATGTATTTAAGGTGTGGACCTGAGGACAAGAACGACGTCTGTGCTGAGATTGGATCGAGGATGAGGATGGCCTGGCCAACCATTTTTCCTGAATCAATCCCTCTTTAGCACGATATCGGGTCAAAGGTCAATGATTGCTTTGAATTGTCACGAATAGTGAAAGCAGGATATTGCGGGATGTGTCGACGTGATAGTGTGGATTTAAGTGATTTATCTCAGGCGACAAGGTATGTTAAGTGGGACCAAGTGTCCAATCCGTTTGATTATCGAGGATCTGTTTTGAGGATTGTGTCCTAAGTACGGGGATAGTGCGCTTTTCTATTTTGGTGACTAATGTTTATGCAGCCGTTGGGGATTCATTGTTTAGCAATCTTAAGGTTACAGGCGTAATGATTGTCGTATAGTGTGGGTAGCAGTCGTTGGTAAGATTATGTGATGGTGTAGATGTGTGTTAGATGACGAGTATTGGTTTGACAGGGACATGTAGATTTGAATTTGAGCTTGATTGTGAGAGGGATAGGGTTCCTTGTCTGGGATTTTGTGTGTCCTTTAAATGATGAGTTGAGTTAAGATGTTGTCATGTTCCGGGGTCTTGTGACAGTTTTTCTTTTGGGACTTTGGAGCCTTTCGTGGCTGTGTGGAATAGGCCGATGCTCGTCTTAAGTCAGGTGTAAAATCTAGCTGATCTTGTGTTATGAGGAACAGGAGAGATGAGTACCTGCATTGGGCTTTAGTGGCAGTAGTATGTGATTGCCTAGTGACGTCCGGCGTCAAAGGCAACAATGTTAGTGGGTACATGGTCTTGAGGTTTTGTGAGGTTTTCTCGGGGTTATGTGTGGTTATGAGCCTCCTTCTTTAAGGATGGTAGATTTCGAGGACGAAATCTTTTAAGGAGGGTAGGTTGTGATGTTTCTGTTTTTAACTATTTTCTATTTTTGGGAATTTTTTGATTTTTCAGCGGCATTTTCGTCTTTTCTCGTTTTGCGTACCATACACCGTAGAGTGTGCCGGTTGTGTTCGAGAGTTGGTTGGGGCATTTCATGGAGTTCAGGACTCTTTGAAATGTAAGTGTTATCATTTCAGCATTTTTCAGTTTTCCGGACCGGACAGTCTTGGGTGAAACCGTTACCAGAGTTGTTGTGTACAGGAGTTGTGTCTCAGGTCATTTGCATACCATGCATTATTATTTTTGTACCTAAGTAAATTATTTAAGTGCTAAAGTGTGTGGCTATGATATAATTGGAGCATATATATATATTTATTGGTGGTAGAAATTAAGAAGAAAAGAAAAGAGAAAAAAAAAAATATATATATATATATATATATATATATATATTTAAGTGGGGCCCACCATCTACTTTAATGGTGAGGCCAAGAGACCACATGGGTCTCATTCTCTCTCTCACTCTCCCGGCCATCTCTCTCTTATCTCCTCTCATTTCCTTTTCATTTTTCATTTTTCTTGAGGCTTTGATTTTCTCTTCCATTTTCCGGCTAATCGGTCGGGTTTCCGGTCTAGGTTCCTTGATGAAAAACGTTCCTCTCATCGTTCTCTATCACATAGTCAAAGATTTTATTTTTCAGAGGATCGGTGATTATTTTATGAATTTTTGAACATTTTGGATCTAAGGCTTCGGATGGGGTTTTCGGCCACTTAGAGTCGGATGCCGGTGCTGACCCTTTGGAACAGTAGAATCTCATCGTCGACGGCTACGTTTTTACGGAACAGTTTTCCGTTCCGCCGCCGTTGACCGGCGTTGACTTTTGTTGACCGGCGGTTGACCGCGTTGACCGGCGTTGTCTTTTTCGGGCGGGGATGTATTTTGGCTACTTTTGAGGTAAGGGTGCTCTAATTCACAATTTCTTAGGTTCTATGTGAATTTTCCCCTTTTAAATTGACTATAAGTATGTTTAATTTCAATTATTTTAGCTATGTGATTGTTGTTGATTATACGTAAAGTGGTGGACGTATGCTATGTGATAAATGAGTTTGTAAATTTAGTTACATCCTTGTAGTGAAGAAGCATGCATAGAAATGACAAGTTGTTTACTTTATGTATTTCAATTGCCATGGAAAATTGATGTCATAATCGTAGAAATAAATGTTTAAAATATTCTTTTACAAGTTGTGATTATGATATGGGTAAAATGTATGGAATATTGTTGTTGAATTTGGCATTTGGAATCATGAAGCATTTATACATCCATTGGGAAAGAAAAAAGGGAAAAGTATATTTTAAAAAAAAAACCAATGTAATTGTTTTGGGGAAAAGTTTTTAAAAAGTGTTTGTGAAAACCCGAACGCCTAGGAGGCGCCTAGTGGTCCGTGGTGTTAGTGTGGTCTAGAGAGGGGACTAGGGAGAGACCCTAGTGTGGTTGAGCTAACCAGGCCGGATGCGACGCCTTGGAGGTGCCTTGTGGTCGTGGATGGTTAGCCAATCCCCCTTTCGTGACGCCTTGGAGGTGCCTTGGGTCGGATTACACTAACGGTTTGGAAGTTGAAACGGTATGGTTTCGGAAATGGGGAGTAACATTGCATGGCATGGCACATCATTGGTATACGTGGTGCATTTGGTAATTTGTTGAGATATGTATGTTTGTTGATGATACAGTGGTTTTACTTGACTCCCGAAATATGATCCCGTTATCTTGCTTTCTATTCTCTATGTGGATTCACGAGGTCATAAGAGGTGTGTCTTAGACACTTCCTACTGAGCGTTTAGCTCACCCCATCATTTTAACATTTTTCAGGTCACGGGAAGGAAATGGCGGACGGCGTTCCTCTATAGGTCTTGATGGGTTAGTGGATTGTTTGACCTATTTTGTAGCTATGACCTCATATTATTATTATTATTACTAGTATCATTATCATTATTATGTATTGACAAAAAAAAAGGACGGTAGTGCCCTTAGTTGACCTCGGGTTCGGATAAGGACCCAATTAGCGATTCAAACCCTCGGGTTCGGGTTGTTACATGATGTTTATTGTAATCTTCCACTGTCTCTTAATTTGGTGTTTTTCTCCACCATTGATCGATCTTCTCCCTCACATACAAACCCTAATACAGGGGTCACTAGCGAGGAAAGAGAAACAAATCGATAATACTCTCTCGACTGCTTTTGGCCACTGTGTAGGTCACTAGGATCGTCCACGAACTTGATAACTTGATATACTTTGATTGACGTTTTCAACACCATATACTTTTGTTGAGGTGATTGAGAGGGAAATTGATGGGCTTAGAAACTGTTATGAAATAAGGATTGAATTGGAGTTTATGAAAATAAGAGAAAAATAAATGACAAGAAAATAAAGAGGCACATATACAAACGAGACGAGAATTTACGTGGTTTGGCTATACCTACATCCACGGGGAGAAGACAGAACAATATTTCACTATGGAAATAAAGAAATACATGGCAAAGTGGTTCACACCCGAAACCCAATTACACCCAAACTCTGTCACCCACTAACTAATATTTCAAACTCACTCAATTGATTTGGGATGCTTCAACACCATGGTGGGCAATGCTATTTATAGCCAAAATGGGACACTAAAATGAGGCTACTTGGTGACCACTCAAAAGACTTGCTGGGCACACATTCTTGGAGGCCAAGAAAAAAGCTTGATGAACACATATACTTGGAGGCTAAGAAGATGATGTCATGGGTGATGCAAGCCTCAAATTGAGCCACATGTTCAACAAATCTCCACCTTGGCGAAAATTCAAATGAGCCACTGTATCTCTGCAAAACAAACTGTCTTCTCCACAAAACAAATTAATTAAGAATTATAGTTAAGTTTGAGTCATCCTCAAACTTAACCCTCGGGCTCTCATTCTTCAACCTATGCATGTCTTGCGCAGCCACAAGCATACCTCCAGTATTTGTGTCAAACTCTAAATGCTTTCCAAAAGCAATCTCAGAAATTCCAAGTTTGACATCTCCTTCAACAACCTTCTCCAACCGCCCACAAACCACCGGCTGGTAATGAAAAGTCATCTTCTCACCCTTGTGGAGAATAGGACGTCCTTGACTTTTCCTCGCATCTCTGTTGTGACCAACTACTTGCCTCCCACGCATCTTAATGGCACTCGAATGGACTATCTCATTGCCACCAAGATTATTGCAAGTCAATATCACACCTGTCCTCATGGGTCTGCCTCCCTGTAAGGACTGCTGCAATTTCGGTTGCCATCTGAGAACGGATTTCATTCTCCCACCATGTTGTGTAGTCCCCTCACAACCCTTTTGAGAACTAGGATCATAACTCCTCTTTCGAACACTTATTTTGCCAAGACCTGAGCGCAGATTTCTGCTAACTGTAGAAGACCCTGTAGAAGTTCCACCTGTTACTGTATTCCCTTGGAGAAGATATAAAATTTTCACCTTGGTGCCCTGTAGCACCACAAGAAAATCCATCACGACCATCATTGCTCCACCTTCTATTACAACATTATAACCTTTGGAGTCTAGCACACCTACTGAAATAAGATTCATCTTCAGATCCGGTACATGTCGCACATCTGACAATGTTCTCACCAACCCATTGTGCGTCTTGATCTTGACTGTTCCAATTCTCAAAATTTTGAAGTTTTCCTATCCGCCGTCAAAATCTAACCACCTTTCACCTCTTTATAGGAAGAGAAAGAATCCCTACTGGGACATATATGAACGGAACAACCAGAATCAAGAATCCAACTGTCATTAAATGACATACCTGAACACAAGGTTGTCATGAGAACATAATCGTCACTGTCCGAATCACTCGTTGTAGCAGTTGCCATAGAAGCTGCTTCCTGAACCTTCACTTTGCCATTTCCATTCTTTGTCTTTTGTTTGGGACAATGCTTGATGATGTGCCCTATCTCGTGACAGTAGTAACATTCCACATTTTTATGAGATCTAGATTTGCCCCTACTAGCAGAACCCTTTGTCCCACCTTTACCTCTTACAAATAGACCCTCGGCCTGCTCATCTCCAATATTCTCAGACACCTTTTTCCTCAACTCCTGAGAGTTAAATGATGATTTAACATCATCTATACTAATGGTGTCTTTTCCATAGAGCAGTGTGGTAACAAAATGCTCATATGAGGAGGCAAAGAACACAACAAAATAAGGGCTTGATCCTCGTCATCAATTTTAATATCAGTATTTTTTAAATCCATAATAATAGAATTAAAATTATCAATATGCTCCTTAAGAGGCATACCTTCCTTCATACGAAGTGTGTAGAGTCTCTGTTTCAGGTAAAGTTTGTTGGTGAGAGATTTCGTCATATACAGACTCTCCAATTTTAGCCATAACTTTGCTGCCGTGTCTTCATCAATAACTTCACGCAGCACCTCATCAGCTAGATTCAAAATAATCGCACTACGCGTCTTTTCATCGACTTCATCCTTGTCTTCATCGGACATATGTAATGTTTATTAATTTTGCAAAAGTATAAAAGTGAGATTTGTTTTTGAGTGGGCCCCACAAAGCACTACACACATTTTATATCAGCATACATTATTTTTTTTTTGTGGCCATTTCTCTCTTCAGACTCGGACAGAACTCTCCTCTCTTCTTGCTTTCTTCTTTTCTTATTTTCTACTATTTCAATCTTTGATTCCTCTCTCAATTCTTAGTGTTTTTAAGTGTCGTTTGCGGTAAAACGGAGAGCACGGTGAGCTCTACACGTGTGTATCAGCAATTTCAGATTTGAGCAACCTAGGGAGTCCGAAAATCTTAACCCATTTTGAGGGTTTGAGGTGGAAATTGGTGGTTTTGGCTTAAATTGAGGTATGAGTGTTTAATCCACAATCTCTTAGATTTTGGTAAATTATTTTTCATAATTTGTGTTCTAATTTGTGTTATTTTCAAAATTGTTATATGTTGTATATGAGATGTGTATATATACATGTTAGTTGTTATGTGATAAAGGACCATGTTAAATTAATGTTAAATTTCATGCCTATATGCTGAATTTTATGATTTTGAAGCATGATGTAAATTCCTAGAATATTCCTATGCGGAATGCATATTGTAAATATTTGACTTGTAAGAAATAAAATTTTTTTTATTGGTATGTCATTGAAATACACAAGACATATATGCATTCATTGGGAAAGAATGGGAACAATTGATTTGAAAGAAAGGAAATAAATTTTGGGAAAGAATTTTGAAAATGATTTTTGTGAAAAACTCGGCCGGCTAAGAGTTGCCTAAGGACCGCGGCGTTAGTGAGGCCTAGAGGGGACTAAGGAGACCGTCCTAGTGTGGTTGAGTTACCTAGGCCCCAAATGACGCCATGGAGTTGCTATGGGTCAGGGACAGTGGCCAATCCTCCTCTCGTGCCGCCATGGAGTTGCCATGGGATGGGTTCACTAACGGTTTGAAAATGATAATGGAAATGGTTTTGGGAAAATGGGGAGTGACATTGCATGGCACGGCATCTCAGTGCATGTCATATTTATTTGTGGTATTGGATTAATGATGTGATATCGTAGTTTTACTTTTACTCTCGGTATGGTATGATCCCAATTTCCTTATTCCTATTCAATGTGTGGATTCACGGGGTCTCAAGAGGTGTGCCTTAGGCACTACCTACTAAGCAATTTTGCTCACCCCTATTATTTAACATTTTTCAGGGCTCGGAAAAGAAGTGGCGGAAGACAATCCCCCGCAAGCTTGAAGAAGATTAGAAGTTGTATTTTGTTATCTTTTGTACCTTAGCCCATTTTTTTGGATTGTCTCAAACTATTTAAAAGAGTATTTATTTTTGCAAATCATGGCCATGTAACATAACTAAGATACTTGATTTATTTTTGTCGTAAGCTGAGACCATGTAAATGCGTAAGTTGAAGGGCATGACGATGATGGGCTAACTTGGGATGGTTGTTGATGTTGTGGTATTGGGGAATGCATTATATTTCTTTTGTATTGTGTGTTGGGGCAGGTTGGATAGGTCTTGAAAGGTCGTTGTTTTTTTTCATTTGAATAGGTTGTTGTAGGACCATTTTTAGCGGAGGTCATGCCGAAATTTTTTTAAAATTTTTTATTATTTTCGGTATTCAATTTAGGGTCGTTACAAATTTGGTATCAGAGCCTTGGTTCGAAAACCATTAGGATGACAGGTAGACGGCTACATAGGGGTTGTATGGGAAGTCATTCGTATAGTTTATGTGATTAATTGGTAAAGTGTTTTGCTATGTGCAAAAACATGCCTAACTGTTTACTTGTTTACATGCTTACGTGCTTATATGCTTATATTAATGTGTTCATTGCCTAGTCTTGCATGCTAAGTGTTAGTATAGTATTCTTTTATGTTGAGTTGTTCACGGGAAAGACCTTAGTGTTATCGTTATTGAATCATTTTATTTGTTTTTTTAGCACGATGTCACGGCGTGAGGAAACCAGGGAAGTTGGCCCTAGATCGACTAGGGGTGGTGTTGGCGAGAGCTCCAGCTCCAATCCGGAGGAGCTAAATGATAAGGATACACTTCTTAGGGACTTGATTCCCCCGAGAATTGTCCCCACAAGGAGGGATAATGTTGAAGCACCCGTAAAAGTGGGTGAAGGTTCTGTGGCACTGGAGTTGAATCGTTTGTTGCAAAATGCCGTGAAGGCAACGATTGCTGCTCAGTGGCAGTCGGCACCACAACCTATAGTTCAAGTTAAGGAGACGCCAACTCAGAAACGTCTCAAGATCATTAAGGGGTTTTCTCAGCTGATGCCGGTTATGTTTGAGAGCGGTGTGGATCCAATGGTAGCAGACGACTACATGGATCAAGTTGAGACACAGTTGACCTCAATGGATGTGACAGAAGATCACCTGAAGATCATCCTAGCAACTTACAAGTTTGCTAAGGATGCCAAACTTTGGTGGAAGACGGTTACGAATCGGCATAAGGTGGAAGAGATGAGTTGCGAAAAGTTCAAGGAACTATTTTACGAGAAGTATTTTTTGCTTTCTAAAAAATGGGAGTTAAAAGACCAGTTTCTTGGCCTTATTCAATGCAATATGTCAGTAGCGGAGTATGAGAACAAGTTCACTTCACTTTCTCGCTTTACTCCGAAAATCGTAAGAGATGAAGTTGACAAGACTCAGAAATTTGTTTCCGGTCTTAATGATAGAATAAGGCCATTGATAACGAAACAGTTTATCAAAGTTTATTCTGAGGCAGTAGAGAGGGCTTTGATGCTTGAGGCTGATATTAAAGATAAGGATGCAAGAAAGGAGCAGTGGAAACAAAAGAGGAATGCAGGGTCATTTTCAGAGGGACCTTCAAGGAAGAGGAACAGGGGTGGTTCATCTCAGTTTCAAGGGCAGCAGTCAGCACGATCTGCTCCTATCACTCCTATGCAAGCAGGGTCTGCCAGAAGTGATGTCATTTGTTATCGTTGTAATTAACCGGGTCACTACAAGTCAGAGTGTCCACAGACATCGGTTAATTCTGAGGCTTGTTTTGGTTGTGGCCAACAGGGCCATAAGGTTAAGAATTGTCCTAATCAGGGAGCAGGCACCAGTAGTGGCATAGGGTCACAGCAGAGGCCGTCACAGTCGGCTACGGTTCAGTCAGGTTTCAGTCCACCACTATCACAGCCTGACATGTCCTCTCAGGGTTCACGGCCAGTTAGGAGGGATACTTCTACTATGTCAGTACAACAGTCATGTGTTCAGGTTGGCAGTTCTCAGGCACAGGCATCACAGGGATGTGTCTTTGCACTTGCACCGACTGATGCATCTCCTAGATCGTCAGTTCTCCAAGGTATATTTCCAGTGTTTGGTTCTTGGGCCCGTGTTTTGTTTGACTCTGGTGTATCTCATTCTTTCATTTCATCATCATTTGCACTTGCATCAGGGTTAGAGGTCAGTTTCATGGATCGGGCGTTGTGTGTTGATACGCTAGTTGGGGTTTCAGTGTTATTGAGCCAAGTTGTGCGTGATTGTTCCATTGTCATAGCCGGACGGACTTTCGTGTTTGACCTTATCCTCCCGGAGATGACTAGCTTTGATGTCATTCTTGGGATGGATTGGTTAGCTTCCTTTCGTGCCACAATTGACTGTTTTAGAGGTAGAGTCACAGTTTGCACTCCCGAGGGAGACTGTTTCTTTTTCGTGGGAGATCGGAGTGATTCCCACATTTCATCGTTTTATGGAGTTCGTGGATGAAGTCGTGGTGATTACTTCTTGGCTAGCCTTATAGCCGAAGAAGATGATGTTGTGAAAGAGGATTATCCTGCAATTGTTCGTGATTTTCTGGATATGTTTTGGGAGGATTGACAGAGTTGCCTCCACACCGAGAAGTGGAGTTCTGTATTGATTTGATGCCAGGTACCGCGCCGATTTCTATGGTACCGTATCGTATGGCACCAGTTGAATTGGAAGAATTAAAGAGGCAGCTTGATGATTTGAGGATGAAAGGTTTCATCCGACCGAGTGTATCCCCGTGGGGCGCACCGGTCTTGTTTGCTAAGAAGAAAGATGGTTCTCTGAGGTTGTGCATTGATTACAGGAAGTTGAATCGTGCTACCATCAAGAATAAGTATCATTTGCCAAGGATAGATGATTTGTTTGATCAGTTGAGAGGAGCCAGTTATTTTTCGAAGATTGACTTAAGGTCAGGCTACTATCAGTTACGGGTCAGGGATAAGGATATCCCAAAGACAGCGTTCCGTACACGGTATAGACACTATGAGTTCCTTGTTATGCCGTTTGGCTTGACTAATACGCCAGCGGCATTCATGGACTTGATGAACTGCGTCTTTCACGATTACTTGGACCAGTTTGTGGTAGTTTTCGTGGATGACATTCTTGTGTATTCACAATCTTGGGAGGAGCACGAGATCTATTTAAGTATTGTTTTACAGATTTTGCGGGAGCACCGATTGTATGCCAAATATGAGAAATGTGAGTTTTGGCTACAAGAGGTGAAGTTTTTGGGGCATGTTGTTTCGGAAGGTGGAGTATCGGTTGATCCATCAAAGATAGAAGCAGTTTTGACTTGGGAGCAACCCAAGAATGTTTTTGAGATTCAGAGTTTCCTTGGCCTAGCGGGTTACTATCAGAGATTTGTGAAGGATTTCTCCCGTTTGGCAGCGCCTAGACCCATTTGACTCGGAAAGGGATTAAGTTTGTGTGGAATGAAGCCTGTGAGTCATCTTTTCAGGAGTTGAAGACAAGGTTGACTACAGCTTCAGTGTTGGTGATACCTGAGCGTGGCTTGGGTTATGTGATTTATTGTGACGTTTCACGTGATGGTTTGGGATGTGTGTTGATGCAGGATGGTAGAGTAGTGGCTTATGGGTCTTGACAGTTGAAGACTCACGAGTTTAACTACCCTACTCATGATTTGGAGTTAGCGGCAGTTGTATTTGCTTTGAAGTGTTGGAGACATTACTTGTATGGTGAGAGATTCGAGGTGTACTCGGATCATAAAAGTCTTAAGTACCTTTTCTCCCAAAAGGATTTGAACAATAGACAGAGAAAATGGGTTGAGTTCTTAGAGGACTACAATTTTGACTTGCAATATCATCCGGGCAAGGCAAATGTGGTAGCAGATGCCTTAAGCCAGAAATCTCGTGGGACTCTGGCCTGTTTGGCTATTCGGAAGTGGAAGATGCTTAAGGGTTTGGCAGAGATGGGATTGTATTATTTTGATGACGATGTTGACAGTGAGCCAAGCATTCTTGTTTAGTCTTGTGGCTCAGCCTACTTTTGTTGTAGGAGTGATTGAGTCACAGAAACAGGACCCGGATTTAGATGCCATTCACGCTTTGATCTCCAATGGTGAAACAGTGAAAGATTGGGCCTTGCATGCAGATGGGGGTCTACGGTTCAGGGGTTTATTGGTGGTTCCCACGGTTTGTCATAAGGACGTTTTACGGGAGTTTCACACTTCCCGCTTTGCAGTTCATCCAGGTGGTACCAAGATGTATCACAATTTGAGATGTCAGTATTGGTGGAACGGGATGAAGAAAGATGTTGCACAGTTTGTGCCTAAGTGCCTTACCTGTCAACAGGTGAAGGCCGAGCATCAGAGACCAGCTGGTTTGTTGCAACCATTGCCTGTAGCGCAGTAGAAATGGGAACATATTGCTATGGATTTTGTGACAAGTCTTCCAAGGTCACGGAGGGGCAATAATGGTCATCATTGACAGATTGACCAAGACGGCTCACTTTTTGCCTATTAAAGCAACAGATGATGTAGAAAAGCTTAGTGTACTTTATGTGAAGGAGATTGTAAGGTTGCATGGAGTTCCAGTAACTATTGTTTCAGATAGGGATGCCAAGTTCACTTCGAAGTTCTGAGAAGGACTTCAAGCAGCGTTTGGTTCAGCGTTGCATCTTAGTACGGCATTCCATCCACAGAAAAACGGCCAGTCGGAGCGATAATACTATCCAGATCTTGGAGGATATGTTTCGGTCATGTGTGCTTGACTTGGCTGGTAGTTGGGAAGATCATCTACCACTTATTAAGTTTGCCTACAACAACAATCATCAAGCGAGTATCCAGATGGCTCCATTTGAGGTGTTGTATGGTAAACCTTGTAGGTCTCATGTTTGTTGGATTGAGGTGGGTGAGACCGCCGCCTTAGGACCCGACATAGTACTAGAGACTACTGAGAAGATTAAGCTGATCAGACAGAGGTTACTTACAGCTCAGAGCCGACAGAAGAGTTATGCGGATAAGCGGAGACGGCCGTTATCCTTTGAGGTGGGAGACCACGTTTTTCTTCGGGTTTCTCCACGAAAAGGATTGATAAGATTTGGGAAAAGTGGCAAGTTGTCGCCACGATTCATAAGACCTTTTGAGATTTTGGACCGTGTAGGAGAGATTGCTTACAGACTTGCTTTGCCAC